TCAGATAAGATATACTAATATTTGTTGTCTTAAAAAGACAGGATTATGAATCATTGGCATTTTATAGAAATCTATTTAATGTACGGATGTAACTATATTTTTTAAATTTTGAAATCTAACTCTAGTATAGTTTTAAGAAAATATCAAAATACTTAAAAAATATTAAAAAGATTCTTCCTTACCATATAGATTTAAACATTTGTTAAATTCATTTGTAAGCTAACAATGCTTTATACGTAAAACTATGGGATATCGCTTATAACGTCTTTACACATACACAATACAGTATGATATACGTAGAAATAAGACAATGGGATTATTTGTTTTTCTTCTCTTGCCAAATGTTTTGATATCAACATCGATATAACGCTAAAACCGGGTCAACAAAACATATGTCTTGTCAGAAATTTGATGTACAAATTATAGAATTAGTAAAGATGTCTTATCAAAAATGTTTGAAAACGTGGTAACGATCGAATTTCATACTTAAGTTCCCTTAAACAATAACCTGACGTATTCAGGTGTTAGTAAATAGCGCTGATAATTATCAGTGATGTATAAACATTCGTATACCTATATTACGCCTCAATCGTTAAGAATACATCTTCCTAGACGTTTGTATATATATACTCATCTAAAATATTGTTTCGTTTCGTTTGTTTTTTGCGTATTGCAAATCAGATATTTAAATTACAGGTTTCGTGTTAATTTAGGAATTTTATCAAACAGGAGCGTTTCGTTTCGTTAGATTTATTATCTTCTTACTACTTCTTCCAGTCAATTAACTCTGCAATATGCATTCAGCATCATTGAAAAAGATAGTAATGACTTTCTTTTTACATTCGTTCCGTTTATTTATGCAGCAAATCTGTAATTTGTACCTCGCTATATCTATATATTCAGGGATTCTAATTAATTCCTTCACCTTCTCAGGCAGGTTGCAGATTACGTGCACTAGTGTATTGAATTGTGGGGCTAGTGCACCTCCACATCTTTTTTTTATTTATTTTTTTTCCAATTTTGCTTTCACTAAGTCGCCTCCTTGGTTTCAGAATAAAGACGTTTAGCGTCACTGACGCATCCTAGAAGGACGAAAATTTGTATAATGCAGTTTTATTAATTTATTTATTATCTGACTCAACTGTATGTAATTCTGAATTTACATAGAAACATGTTATTCGTTTGTGTGTCTGTCGTTAAAAGTTGATCATTTAAACGGATAAGAAAGCAGGTGTGAGTGAGTGATTGAGAAAGTAATACACACAGATAAAAATGTTTAAGATTTACTCATGGCTAATAGATAACAGACTTATCGACAAAACGATTGACTGATTCTGTAACGAGTTCACGAATCTATTTATCTACATAATTATTTATTTATAGTGAATTTATCAATGGGTTGATTGATAAATGAAGGAACGAATTAACGAATGGTTGTTACGACAGATGAAAAGAAAACTTCGATTGAATGAATGAATCAACGAACGACCGAATGAAAGAATGAATGAATGAAATCAAAATCCCGAATGAAGGAACGAAAAAAAAATTAATGAAAACATATATTTTGATCCAATTTCTGGAGCAAATGAATACATTGAGAAAGGAATCTGGGAGAGAATTGTAGGAAACTCACAAAGTTATCAGGAGGACGATGGTGGATCGTAAGTGATAGGCAAGATGGAATGTAAGTCATTCCTAGAAATCAAATAAGCAGTAATTAAGGACTAAAATCACTCCTTAATGGCACTCGGGCTATCAAATCCCCATCTCTCCTTGTAGCTACTGTCAGAACACTGGGGAGATTGATGGGACAGGGGAAATAGGCAGATAATCCGAGGTACACACGAAAATATCGAATTCTTAGAGCGTTGTCACGTCAATGAGAAGAAAATAATTCCATATTTCCGTTGAGTTTGAGTATGCTTTCTATCTTTATTTAATAAAAACAGAAAAATGAAAATATTGATTTTGATTTAAACATATTTATTGCCCTCTAATGAAATATCTATCATTGATAAAATAACGCTTGTTTCTCACTTGCTTCAAAAATGTGCATACTGTTCACTTTAAAGATTCATTTGTATATAAATTTATGTTTGTTAAGTTAAAGTAGAATATTTCACTTTCTACATTACTGTTGACCTATTAGACATGGTTAGAGGAAGTAGCACTTTGACGTCACGTGACTGATCACCATATTAAATTTCTCAATCATGCGTAACGAGTGATTTGGACTGCCTAAAAACAGGTATCGAGATGTATTTCAACCGTGCGATCTTGGTGGTGATTTAATTTAGATTAAGATGTGATAGAATTTAACGAAAACCAAACTTTTTGCCAAAAACCCTTTAAGGCAGCTAATTCCATATTAAATAATTTCGCTTCAATGTATTGTAAATTATGATGTTCTAATGAGTGGTGTCGGGGTATGACAGCGGAGCTTTACGAGCCTCGTGATGGCTGTTATCATTTTTTACTGCGGGCCTATCCTTTGACTTGTTTCTTACGAATTGCCTTTGATGAAACAATATCCAAGCGACCAGCCCAAGTTAATGACATTTTTATTAACAAAATATTGAGATTTATCAACCTCATAAAAGCTATATATAGAACGGATTCTTAGCTGAGGTGATAAATGGGGACTATTTTTTCAAACTACACGGCAAATTTGTCCTATACATTGTGACTAAATCTTCAATCAATATTTACTGTTTGCTTTTTTTCAAATGATAAGAAAAATAGAATGAAACCTAATTTCCTTTTTCCTGCTAAATTGCACTGAAGCAGGCAACAGTTTTAAAGTTGGTAATATTTCAATGTAATTTCGCTGGTAAAACAGGACTGTAACGGCGTTTCATCTTAAATAATCACACTTCGTTACAATGTCCCACGATTATGTAAAGCTATGTATTTATGAAAACACAACAGTATATCAAATAGAGTTACTTACCCCCACCCCCCAATCCACCCACACACATCTTATTTCAACACTCTTACTACCAAAACCTTATTATTTCTCAGCATTCCAGTATTTTGTAACTAAGTCCGTCTTAGCGTGCCACGGTTTGGGCTTTTTTCACTCCAATTCTACACCATGAAAGTTCATACGGTCTTCAGAGTCGATAATTCTAATTTCGAGGATCCGAAAAGTTCACAAGCCTATGATTTATTTTTGGCAGGGGACTTGAGCGAGGGTTTTGGTGTGGCACTTAGCGAGTAAATTATTGATTTCTTTTTTTAATGTTCGTTTCAAAAGCTCTTCAATGTAATCCTCAATATTATTATTTATTGATAGCGTACGTCTGATAAAACACGTTTCATTCAATGTCTTTTCATTTTAAAGGAACGGTTTTATCCCAAATACTGTAAACGTGCATATTTTAGAGGTAATGTTATTTTAGCGCTGGCTGCAGTTTCTTTAGCCGTTGTTGATACAGTGGACTCTGTCTAAACCGGACTCTGTGCAATCCAGATATCTGCCCATTCCGGTCAAATAATGAAGTCCCAATTCAAACAATGTGATAACAATGGACTCTCTACAATCCGGAGCTCTCTACAAACCGGCCAAATTATTCGGTTCCAAAGGTGTCCGGTTTTGACAGATTCCATTGAATGACCATCGATGCCAATATACAAATTCCTCATTTCGTTTGTTAAAAATTGAAAAGATAAAAAAATTTACTGCGAAGAAATAAGTAATGTCAGTTAACAATATCATCCAGACAGCAAAAGTCACTGAGTACTGAAACAAACATGTATTTTGTCCCTAAAGGTGAATCATAGATACAATAGGATTGCTTGTAACGGTAAGTATACGCTTGGTAGATAACTCTCAGGATTCTCTTTCGCCTGACAAACCCCACTATTATTTCGAAATAAGCCACATGAGATGTACTTAGTTCTGGGATGGTGTAAATAATTGCTGGAACAGCGAATTCAGTTTCGTTACTTTCGTGGGTGCGGTGATTTAGGAAGAACAGCCTCATATGTTGTCATGGTTACCTTGGGATAATGATTTGGAAGGCTTCTATCCATAAGAGTGTTTGATGAGGTACAATGTACATATGAAACGCTGTATAGTACTTAATATGACCTAACGAGTCCCTGGAATGTTTTATTCTAAAGAGTTTTCGGAAAGCGTCTTGTATTATACAATGGTTATATAACCTCCAAATACCCCTCCCCCAGACCCCGAAACACCCCTCCCACTGACCCCCAAACACCCCTCCCCCCCCCCCGACCCCTAAACATCCCTCCCCCATATCCTCAAACATCCCTCCCCCAGACTCCCAAACACCCCTCCCACAGAACCCCAGAAGTAATAGCAATCTTTATCTCCCGCTGAGTACAGCTGTAAGCGGTATTCTACCTCATCAATGATACAGACGAATTCTGTAGCTCACCAAACCTTTCAGTGACAGTGTATATACGTGTGATAAATATTCAAAGTCAAATTTCATTAAAGATGTCTCACGGGACACCGTAGTCTTTTCTCTTCTAGATCAAAATCAGTTTTGATATCTCCAAACTATGTACATGTATAAGATAATGACTTTAACCAGAAGGACGGTAGTAACAGCTTTAACTAAATTATAATATTCTCTATTCAGACCTAATAAGCATTAATTCTATATTCTGTATTATCGATTTCACTATAATGATAAAAATGAATTAAAAACCTACTTTTGTAAATGCTAATACTGACTATTAAAAACCTTCAGCGATGCTAAAATTTTATTTTTTTTCTTATTTAAATTTTTGTCTAGTGTCGTAGGACAATGAAAGGGAAAGAACATACACGTTTATTTATTTACAAAATATTGTCAATCAAATGTTATGTGTACAGAACAAAAATACGCCATATTTTCCATAGCAACTGGGAAATGAATTCACTTTCAAGCAACGCTGATGGTTCTTCATACCTTGCAGACAATGTAAAAAAAGATTAACAACTACAAAAACAACAAACAAACAAAACTTAGTGAACAGCTACGACTTACCGTCAAATGTACGGTTCCACATAAGTTTTGTAATTTCTGTCCCATTCGTAATGGATCGATTTCTCGTCAAAGTCTCGTTCAGCGCGATAGCATATAGTATGACCGCGTCGTGGAAAGCACCAACAAAACTGTTTACCTGTAAAGACGAAGATTTAGCGAAATAAGTCACTTTGAAATAAGGAAATGTTTTCTAGAGATATCAAACTGGTTTGGTTTATTGTTGATATGCGCCCATTAAACACCCAATACCATTTAAGAAGAAGAAAGTCTAAATTCTCGGAGAAAAAAAAAACACCGACCTGCGGCCAATACCTGGCGACTGCCCTACGTTGGCCTCGAACCCAAGACCTAGAGATGGAGGGCTTGTGGTAATGTCGCTCAGAGGAATACACCCCTTGGCAACCGCGGACCACGAAATAGATAGCAACCGTAGTAAATGTAATATATGTTCACTATTGACTGTCTTAAATCATCAAAGTGAAATTATGTAGATTTTTATTCAGTTTTCTTTCATTTCATTAGATATTTTCGTATCAACCGGATCATCCATTTTTTGGAAATTATCAGTCAATTGCGCATAATAAAAATGACAAATAGAAAAAAAACAGGTTTAAAATGTTCATCTGTCGTTGCTATCACTTTGACGTTTTATCGATTCTATGGATGTTTGTTTTCAGAGTGATATCGAAAAAATATATAAATGTGTATGATACAGGATCAGGCACTTGGAAATCCTCGGATTTATTCTACACCTTTGAGGGATTGCGAGTGGATCTTAAATTTCAAATATCATTCTTGGCTATGATGATGACTATGCTAGCTCAATCTGATCATCATTTATATTTTGGATAAATCATGTTCAATTGTCGAAATGATTATCAGGACAAGTCAAGTTAATTTGTTTGGTCTAAATTCATGAAAAATTTTACCTGACTTGTCGCGGTAATTATCTCGAAAAGTTGACATCAGATTTACAAAATAATTCGTGATAATTTTACAATATAACACGATTTGTCGCACGAGCTGTCTTAGAAAGTCTTATTACAGTGTTGATCATGTAACTGGACTAATGAAATACAGCACCATTATGAAACACGACTAACCTTGGCGTGTTATCGGAATATTGAAATCCTGATGACTACAACATACAATATTTCTCAGCGTTACTGATCGCAATCATTCACTTCTATCATTATGATAATATTGACGTATCAACATCAGTGTTGTTGAAGCTGTTTTGTGGGATAAAGTGTAACTGTTACTTAAATCTTCTTTGATTTTATATGTCTATACTATTTCAGACTTATGTACATATAGGCTAAGCTGTTGTTTACACCTTTTGTACATTTTTGAGCAATAAGATCTATAGAAATGAAATAAAACCTCGAAGTTTATATCCTTGATAATTTATCGTTAAATTGATATTAAACAATTAAAGTTTTCCATGACGTTGGCTCAGTGGTTTGCGTAAATCAATCACTACTCGGTAAGACTAGATCAGAAAAATGCTTACAGGAAGAAATATTAAGTAAATAAAGAGATTGAGAAACTTATAACAGTGAAATAGATGGATTTCATCTTACCTCTTCCTCCCCATATGTGAAATTTATGTCTTTTGATTCCGCCCGCTTCTTGACCTCCTCCGAGAAATGCTTGTATTCGGGAGAAGTCGGTTTTCGGAGAGTGACAGTCATCAGAGCCTCGTAAGCCTTTCGGGCCTTTTCGTTTCTTTCCGGCGTGTCGTCGTCTCTGAGCCATGGTTTCATACTTTCGTTTTTACTGAAGAGATAAAAGATGTATACAAATTTAACATCAATGACTTTTGGCACTGCAGTGAAAAAACCTTTTATCATCATGGGAAAAAATATATACACTTCATGTTATTTAGAGAAAATATTCACAATGAAAATAGGTCAACGCATTAAATTTTAGATGAAATCTGCAAATTTCGCCACATCACTTCTGGAACAGTTTAAAATACTGTCTTTAGCATATTCCCTATTATCAATAAAAATGTGTAAATTTGTACTTTGATATTTCATACATTCGAACGAAATTAGATTTTTTTTTAAATGCACGTGTTTGACAGGTCCACGGTACTGCCATCAAGATCAGATGTGTACTAAAAGAAATGAAAATGAAATAAGAGGTCTGTTTTTTTTTTTTTTTTTTTTTAAATTTTAAGCACGGACGCACCAATCCGATGATACCTGGGCTCGCATTCAATGAAATTCAATTCGAAACAGTTAAATGTTGTCCTGAGTCGGTAGATATCGTCTAAATACAATATAAATGTTTCTGGAAATTTTCTTAAACGTAATATTCTCCCTCAAACCAAATTTTGTCGGAATTCGTAACAAATCGCAAGCCTTTAACTGCATGTGACCTCCTTTGAAACGTACTCCGCCTGCTGTAATTTTGATAAAATCGAATCTACTAATTTCGTTTCAGCTCGTGCACTGATTGCGTTTATGTGAAGAAAACGTTTTTTTGCGGGGACAATCCATATAAATTGGACAATATTGAATTAAACGCTGAAGATAGTCACGTATACAACGTAACAGTACCCAGAGCACCGGCAACTCGGATCTCGTCTTAAAAGATGTGGGGACTCTACAAGTAAGTGCATTCGTACTGGCTATTTCGTCCTCAATAGAGTGTATACTCCAAAAAAAAAAAAGACAAATAAATGAAGAGAATATTATCCATTTATAAAAAAAAAGAGAGAGAGAAAATAAAAAATAACAAAAGAAAGATAGCATTGGTGACAAATTTAAAAATGAACAAGATGTAGTATGGTGTTTTCATGAAGACGTCTTATCCATCTTCGTTGAGATAGCAGGTGACTACCTCAATGAACAACATACCAGAGGCCCATTGTCTGCCATCCTGAGCCATCAGGGTAAAGTGCCTTACCCAAAGACACAACCATATCGGCACAGATTGGTATATCAATATATCAGAAATTTTCAGAGAATTTTTATTCATCGGCAATATTCTTAAGCTTTCCAAAGTCTTTGTAAGATTCGTATTTTTTTATCCTAGAGACGATGCGAGAGTAATACACGTACTCTAAATTTGCTGACTTTGTATAAAGATCGCCATCATTTATTTGAATGCCAAAAAAATATAATAATCAATGGGTGTACTTAATATACTTCTGTTGCTATGGTGTCATGTATTTTAACAAAAGGTTATATTTTCACATCGGAAGAGGCTACTGGCAAATATTGTCTTTCTAATAAAAATGTCATGTTCTAGTGATGAGAACCGTGGTAATTCAGTAACACGTCTTTCCGAAGCATGCAATCTCCTAACAGTGTTTCCTGGTGATAATTCGCTTCCACAGAACTATTTTTATTTGAAGTAAATTTCCTTTTTAAGGAACTGTGATTTGGTGAAGAACATTGTTCTTTAAATTTAAACTACTGCACTGTGAACCCTATACTTATATAATTGCTTCAACTCATTCACTGAAAGTCTGAAAATCACTTGTAAAAATCCTGGTAAATATAATACACTATTTCACCGCTCTTCTCAATCTTTCAATACAATCTCACTCATTCAAAACGATTTTGTAGCAGATCAGGGTCCCATGGAGTTAAACCATTTTCGTCTTGTTCGTTTCAGTGAGATTTTCTAATCCATTTCAAATGAGACATATTTACCGTGTCTCTGTATGACTTGATACAGAATGGATTGTAAGGAACGGAGGCAGGTATTCATACGAGTTAATCAACTAGAAATCGGCTCTTACCAAATTCACACGGTGTTACTGCCTCTAATGGACTCCCATTCATGGTGTGTACATTAGTGTTTTGTTACGGAGAAGTGTCGATCATATTTAAGGAACTATGGATGTTAATCCGCAGTGAATTTTATACCTCAATTTCTCGGTGGTGTCGGAGCCCATTCCTGAGAAAGATGCAAATAATATCGGCCGATTTCTTACACAAAATGCTGTTCCACGACGTACATACAATACACGTGTTGATGCAATTTATTTGTTGTATATATACTGATGCTAATAAAATAATGGAAAAGTCAATTTTGGAAATTTGAAAAGAAAACAGAAAAATAACGAAAAGAAAAAAACACACAAAAAAGGAGATATTTTCGGTAAAACTTTTTAGCGGTAATTGAGTTATTGATAGGTCGTACCCACGGAATCCAGTTATATTTCAAGGGTTAAAAACGATTTTATGAAATACCATCAAGAAAAACTAAAAGCGAATGTTTCTGTGATTTCAGTTAGCCATATGAACAAACAACGTAAAAAAATTGCCATCGTCCTTACGAAATCAGCTATAAACCGGGATTGTATAGAATAAAAAACGAACATTTCAATTCCTGAGGTTGAAATTGATTTCAAACCTACCTTTTGTCCCAGTTAAGTAGTAGTCTTGAAGGAAAAGTGATTGAATGCGCAATGTGTCCGTACTATAACAATATATTTAAGTTCCTTACCGTAATCCTGATTTTTTTTATCTAGCATTTGAAAGTCAAATCCATTCCGTTCTTACTTTAAATGTTTATCATGTAACTGACAATAAATTTTAGGTACAGCATCAGTGAATTACATGAACAGACAAACATACGCTGTTCTAGACTGGTTCAATATACGATGGTCTTTATGTAAAACCAGCTTCATATGATCTTGCAAAATGCGAGGAAGAAAATCTTTGATTCGGAATAACTTCCATATGTTTCTATTTTTCTCAGCACACGTTTATTTTTGGGTTTCGTTTTTGATGCGGAAGATATCTAACCTTCAGAAGTCTTGATGCGATTATTTTTTCACTTTTCAAAATTTTTTAAAAAATTGTGTAATTTATTTTTAATCAAAATTTTGCCTCGATCCTGAGTTATGATTACTTTTTACGACATTTCGGAATGCCTTTGATGTGTTCGCACAGTATAAACAGATTCAAGATTGCAAAATGTTTTCTTCCTGCATGCAAGTTTCCCGGGAGAATTGTTGACAAGTTACGAAATAACGTTTTGAGTATTGCTATTTATTAGCTTACACCAAATCCGAAATTATGGCTTTACCACAAACATCCGAAACAAAAAATTCGAAACTACGGCTTTAGAATACACAGCCTTGACTAAGTCCGAAATGACTTTGCCTACAAAAACGAATATCCGGTTTTACGATACACAACAATTCATAGACAAAATTCGAAACTACGACGTCAATCAGAATACATGTAACCGCATTAGTTATCGCACTTTATACGAATCTCGGTTACTCAGACGTTGTTAAGTGGCACTAAAAACATTGATTTATTCCTAACCTGAAATTCTTTTATTTCAGACAGTCGATATCTTTTCGCAGTATTTGAGAAGTTAAATGGTGACGAGTAACGAAGACATGTCGACATGAGGAAATGGGTGTTTGAAACTCAGACACATGATTAATGAGTTATGTTATATACAAATGCACTTCCTAACTACTGCAAGAAGACAAAAAATACTTTTTATTCACAAAATATTGAAAAATGTCTTTGAGACATAAATGTCCCGCTCCTATGCCAGAAATTGTCATCTGTGACCTTTGACCTTTTATTCTTAACCTATGACCTCTTTAATATGATAAGGTATAGGAGTCGATGCCATGGTATTATAACATTAACATGAAGCTAATCGGATGGGAGGTTCTCTGGATATGATACTGAACTGAACATGACGAAACGGACGGATTTCAGCGCGGTGACATTGAATGACGGAGCCATAAAATCGTGACACAGAGAGCGGTATATTTCGGCAGAGTTACAGTGTTGTCACAGTCAGCAGTCAAAGGATGGAAGTCAGTAAGCTGAATAATTTGTACCAAGAACATGTTTTGTTTTTGTTTGTTTATTTGTTTGTTTATTTATTTGTTTGTTTGTTTTTCATGGTTATATTTCATGTGCTTAGTTTATATATAGGTATATAACACCCGGAGTTCCCAAAATGGACTTAAATTCAACCTATGTACCATATCGTGGTGACCACGAAGGTGGAAAATTTCTATGGTTTATCAATACAAATGAAAGAGTTTCTAGATATGGACGTCACACAGTCGTACCTGATCAAGGTAACATAACAGATTCTACTGCCAGTCCTTTACACGCGGGAACGCATGATATGTTTAATGGCAAGCGACTTTTATATCAAATCAATGCGAGACAAGGAAAGGTTTGATAACCTACCTGATAAAAGTATAATCAACAACGACATGATACCTGTGTGGTTTTCTAATTCAAATCTTGTTGATCAACATTCATTATTAATCCCTTCCTGAGGAGATGTCAGTATGAACCTTCTTTCTCGGTTTATGATTCACAGCCTCGATATCAGACAGTTGATTACGAGGCTATGTGTACTTTTTGACCTTACTTTAATGTCTTCTGCCGCCTCTGTTGTAGTGATATGCCTCCACGTTTCATAGTGATATTTTTATTAATGGGTTAAAATAAAATCTAAAAGTAATTAGTTCCAATATCAAAGACGAGATAGAGACCACACTCGGTTGTAACGGCTGTGTACTTTGGCAAAACATTTTACCGAAATTGCTTTGAATATCATGCGACAGGCCTCCCGGAAGTTGCCCAGTATCTACAAAGAAAGCCTCGCCGCATAATGACCCTTGCTGATGGCACGACAAGAAACGCAACAAGTGAATAATTTAAGGCCTGTAGAAAACGTCACATAGCGAATCTACAATGGTCAATAATTCCCGCGGATTTTTTTATTCCTTGAACTGTAACTTGAGAAATAGATGAAACGTACATTAATATACGTAATTGTATTAAATAAATGTGGCTTAGGATGAAGAACACAAGATCCGAATTCATGCTAACCCACTTAATATTTCAATGGGTGATATTTTCCTAAGCAAACTTAAGGCGGTATCTTACATACACTTAACTCATTCAAAGCAATCCAACTATAAGCTTGCGGACATTTTTCTTCAGATTATTTCATCGGTTATTCAAATATTTATTTATTTTCATCACGGTAGAGTTTTCTACATATTTTTCCAAGTTATCGAGTTTAATTACAGACTTATTTATCATTACTATATTTTTTCTTTTTAATTTTAGAGTTTCACTTTAATGGTTACTTGATTGGCCAAACAAACATACTCTTGTATGTAAACAAAACATATCTGACAAGGGAGATAACTCTTAAATAATTCACAAATTAATATATTCTGGCACGGGTCGTTGATCTGTTGAAAGTGACCGTCATATAATCAAATAGAGATAACTACCTTAGCTAAGAGTGCACGCTGTTCATTTCTTGAAACCGGTTTTAAATGCCTCTTTAAATAATATGTTAGAACGCTCAGAAAATTTCAGAATTTTAATAAAATTAGGCAGTACAAAATTGAAATGAAGAACCTGTTGAGAATGTCCTGATTTCTGTAGATTTCTGTAGTCTGTTCCGATAACAAAGAAATCCCGTGTCATTGACAGACATTAGTCAGTGAAGCGATTAAGACATCAGCATTATGACGTACTCTCACGGATTGATTCGCTCGTAAAATATCATCAACACAAAAACTTTAATTGACTTAGGAAATAAATCCACACGGAATAATCTTTCAACCGAAGTCATCAAATTTTTCTGATTAATTTGAAGTGAAATACAGTAAATTGAGCACTGTCGTGATCTTTATTTGAATTAATTAAAGCTCCTTGATGATTGAGGAATAACGAGCGACTGCGCCGTTTCCACTCAATACAAGAGCTTTGCTGAATGAGATGGATGCCTTTTATAAATTATGAACGCGTTGCCGGGGCTAGAGATAGCGTGCCGGAATTACCGTCCGGTCGTACGATCAAATTATAGACACATCAATGTGTCCTCGACCACGAATTAGGGACCTAAAATGTGTTAAGCTGGAACCTGCTGACTGCTCGGGGTCCAATCTGACGCTTTGAGTAGCTGAACCATCCATTTTGTCTCGGCGGCCAAATATTCACACGCCATCTTCTATAGATGGTGATGACGAAATGAGTTTTCCCTGATGCAATACTCAACAGGCGTTTCTCCACGACAACACAACTATGGTATAACGAAACTCCTACGGTACATGGCATCACGCCTTTTTGATATATGATTTTCTCCAAAGTACAATAAATGGGGTCCACAGTCACATCCTTTAGGATACGTTGTGAAAACTTTCATCATACTTTTCAACACACATTCCCTTACTGACAAGGCTTAATCGAAAGACTTCTTCGCCAGATGTTGACATGCAAAAGAACACAATGAAATAGTTATCTATTAATATCAACTACGGCGACAACGATAACGGTGAAGTTCCATTAAAGGGTAAATTATCACTATGACTAAAGCGGAATCCATACTTTTAGAAAAAGAAGAAAAAAGTGTGACCTGTAGCAGGGTTAAAGGCATGCGTACAACACGTTTATGATTCTAGACAATTTTGTATCAACACATAATGTGTTTCCTAACTATTCACACTGAAAACAAAAGACAAATATCACTAAAGATACAATTGACTACCTAACCAAGCCTCACATTACTCGATCCGGAACATCTGTACTTGAACTCTCTTTTAGAGTGTTTGTCTGCATCAGATATTCACGAGAATCAGGGGTTATCTTGATTATGTAGTGGTCTTGGATGATATGTCACACCAACTGGCCATTTACTCAAATCTAAGGTCTCAAGAGGTGTCTTTATCACCAAAACGCTTTTAATGGATTCTCGACAATTTATTTCTTTATCAATAACAAGCTTGTTATGGAGTCTAAAATGGATTTCTTTATCTCAAAAATGTTTGTTTTGGTTCGAGGAAATATCACAAACATCGCTTCTCTTCTAGATGTAGAATTCAACGAAAACATTTCAATATGTACAGTACATATATCTGTACGTTTTTATATACACACAGAATTAATCACATGTACATAGCGAAATAAGTCCATCTATCGTCGGAATAACGAATTACTTTGTCCGATCTCGTGAAAACCGAAATGATATCAAACCATATCGACTTACCTGCTAAATAGATCGATATTTAAGAAGACATATTCGCCGTTATCGAAGTTCAGTTCATGTGCTTTGATCATTATGTCACGCACTGAGTCTGCCGACGCACATAGGACAACAACTGTAACAGAAAAAAATATTTGTTAGATAAGGATAGGGAGAAAATGTAGAAACATATTGACCATTAATATTGTATACGAAATTAGATTTATCTTGGGAGGATCACCACTAGCATGTGCAAATTCCATGCCAATTCGCGTTCAATTTGCATAACTGTCCAGAAAGTTAGACACCAAATGTATTATTGACGTTTTGATGAAATAAAACGACCCTCCAGTGTAAATGAATCGTTATCCGCATTGCGCGGATTATTTCGTCAAGATAAATTGATGAACAGATAAATGCATGTGAATATCTTTCACTACTGGCGTCAGTTTTGGTGTATGTACAAATGTATATGGAAAGGAATATATAGTGTTTGTACTGTATCTTGTGGGGTTCTTAAACAAAGGTCCTCGACGCAGATTGGAATGGTTGGGAAAGTATATCAAGACTTTATCACAGCCCCACACCCCTTATTTATGAATAAACAAAAAGAAAGAAAGAAAGAAAAGAAAGAAAGAAATTGATAATAAGAGAAAACACGTTATGAAGTTGAAAGGTTTTGAGTCTAAGTAAGATATATTTATCATCCGTATTTAAGTTTATAAAGAATATTTATTGATTTAGAAAGTATACACGGCGTCGTTTGATTAAGGTTTTGAGGACAACAATGTTCTAAGTGAAAAACAAACAGAAAAATTGGTAGTGAAGCTTTCTATTACATGATATATGTAAAATCTTTACAAGCTTTACAAACAACATAAACCCTGTAGATCTTTTATCACGACGCTGTTTTGGATGTTAAAGAAAAAACCACAAAGGAAAACCAACGTAATGTCGGTGGGGAAACAATAAACACGAGAGACATCTGCCCGTGTCGGCCAGGGTGTCTCGAACCCATGTCCTAGGGGAAAGTGGCTTGATTGTACAATCACGACAGTCACATACATTATGATGGTTAACAGTCGAAGCACCCGGCGTATCAAGTATTATAGTATATAATGATGTAGACTACGGTGATATACTTTACGTTACTTTACAGAAAATTTATGTTATTGAAAAGCAGAGGACGAAAGAAGATTGAACAGATTATAGAAGGAATTCGAAAAGTCAGAGAAAACATTCATTTCGAAAAAGTGTTATAGGAGATACAAAAATACAGCACACGACAATCGGTCTAAAACGGCTCCTGATATATAATATTTTATATTGAATATTTATTGTGTAGCAAATTACTTCGGCCTTTGTCTGAAATTGGAAATCGTTTGAACACATAAATAGCTTTCTTATCATCTATCTACATAATACTTCCAGTCTGAAAATCCAAAAGCTAATTTCGACAGATTTGAATTCCATGCATCAAGCACTTTTTAGACCTTGATTGGCTATATATCTTCATCACTAAAACGTTTGCTGTCTATATTGGAGAAGAATTGAATGACTAAGCTCTCTCAGCGAAAGAGAAACCTAATTGCCTAAATAGATGGGCAAAGCATTACGGAACGGGACAACTTGTTGAATGAGTTTCACTGGCGTGGAGTTATTTTTTCCTACTATAATCCAACACCATATCTTGTTTGTATATTACTGAGTGGTGAAGACTGTTGCTCACATCCTAGTTGTGTGATGTAGAATTGGTAATGGCTTTTCGTGGGATTTGACAGGAACTTCTTAGAACGAAATTAATGATGTGAAAATATCAGATGAAATTCGTAGATCGATATGTTTGGCAGTGAGAGCGCCAAGTACCTCAGTAACAAGAGTAATACAGAGTATTTACACAGCTCATCATTAAACATGTTACATTTCATTCTTAAATTTATTTACTCTGTGTTTGATATTGGATTTTATATTGCAGCAATCTAGATACTGTGTACGTGCATATTTTAGCGGTAAACTTATTTTAGCGATTTCAGGCTGCCTGCAGTTTCTATGTAGTGATAGCATAGCAATAATTGTGGATGCAAGAATTTATCATCGCACTTATTTGCCACAAATTGATAAAGCGAAAGTTTGATTGGATTTTATTGTGCTTAAGTACATTTACTGAACCCTGTTCAACGTGAGAAACCTGTTTGTTTATAAATCCATCCATCTATCCATGTACACGTTTTTTATCTGTCCATCCTGTTTGTTTACCTATGCGCCAAATCTTTAACATTTTTGTTGTTCTATTTATCCAATGATAATCAGGAGAACTAAAAATCTCTTGAGGTTCTATCGCCTTCCGAGACAACCTGTTGTTATTCTCTCAGCGTTTAGTATATATGTATCGGGCGATCAGGACAGTTAGTTAGCCTGATGTCAGAATAATTTGATTAAGTCGAATGCTTGGCTGTTGTGTACCAGTTATGACATTTCAGTGTGATAACACTATAAATACGTCCGTTAGTGACCTCATCCTCTGCAGGCACCGTCTTTTGATGACCATAGCTGTTATGATAAGTAAAATCACAGATGAACATACTCTTTTGCACTGGTATGGTGTTCTAGTTTCGTATCCGTAATAATTATGTCAGTAGGGATTATTGATTAGTACAAGTCTAGATATCTGTGCCATTGATGGCTTCCGCTAAGAAAATAGAAAACTGAAGTACTATACAAAAAATTTGACAACAACAGAAAAATGATAGATTTAAACAAAGCACTACAATGCATTTCTCTTTCTTCCAAATTTCTGTTTTTTTTTCACATTCCGGAATTGCTAATTTTCGGATCTTTTTTTAGACAATCAAAATCACTTGTCCTGAAATCCTGGTTTAAGTTTGAAGATAAAATCGGAATTTCACAAATTATTACGAACCTTAATTGAATATACTTCATTTTAAGCAAGTACAGTCCGATCAGACATATTAACGAATGCATATTATCTGTAAATGTAGACACAAAATTGGCTTATTCACCGCTGCCGCAGAGTACGCGCGATCTTGTCATACTGACGAATGTAAAGAGATCTGACATGCGCATTACATGCTTCCGTTGTGATATATCGTCAATAAAACTCAATTGAGTGATAATTCCGGCATAGTTACAGTGACAGAAAATTTACAATTATGTAAAATAAGCTGAGCAAATCTTACAACTTAAAACTGTGCTGATCCATCAACGACAGAACTAAATTTGATCACGGTGCTGTATTGACATGCTGAGAAATCCAAATAGGCGCTATTGTCTCTCTGACGTGAACGTAGACGTCAGACAAATGACAAATCGCAAGGTCACATGACAGGGAGAAATCATTGCGTCCTGATTTAACAGGAAGTTTACTGAAGAGACGGAATTGTTCAGAAATACGATATCTTAGTAAAACTCAATCTGTATGTAAAAATACGGATATAGAGATCGATGCATTTGCGAGAAATAGTTTATCATTGTAGTGTTTTGTTTACGGCCATTAACTTTTCTCTCCTGTCAGTGATTTTTGTCTGGTATTTTTTTCATTTAGTTTTATCTTATTTTTCGTTTGCTTATTTTTATATACTTTTTTCCGTTTTCCTAACGGAAGTCGGAGTTGAAGGAAGAGGGAAGACGCGATATCAAATGATTATCTTCACAAAATTACAAAATGAAAAAGTTGGGAAATGTTTACAACGATAAAACCGGTTTTGCTAATGAATTGTTTCTGAAATTTTACGATGTTTTTGTCATCTTTCACCAAGTGATAAAATAGAGCGATAAGATATGTCAAACAGCTTAAAATGAAATTTTACAAGAACGATATTTTTAAATTGTATTTCTATGACAAACGTGATAGAAGACTTCAATCACAAAGCGTTTAAGAACAAAAGCTAAACAAAAAGCAGCGACTTGTTTTACTGGGTATAGGGTGTGAAGATCGAATCTCTTAAAAATAGATCAAGATTTTCCCTCGTGTTTGACAAACTCAATTTTCAGAAATCAACGAACAGTGAAAATGCGCGTTGATATTTTTTTACAGAAACAACTTGGACAAAGAAGGTAAAAACCGGAACAGATTGCTGTAGGAAGAACCGACACGTAAACACACTCACATTACTATGTCGTGTTTGAGGCGCGCGATGACAAATGTTGTTCTTGGAGGCTGAATTCTTGTAACACAATTAATCACCGCTCCCTCGGCGTCACAAGTTGTCGTGTACTACTAATCAATCGTAAAGAGAAGTTTGAATTAATGAAGGGAGCTACGCTTAATTACGGACGGAATCATAATAAGCTGGCGACAAAATCCTGTTCCGTGGCATGTTGGTTTAGTTTTTTCCTCTCTAGACTTGCTCAAGTCAGATTATTTAAAACGAATCACTGATTCATCCTGTCGTTTAATGTTTCAATATTTTTAAAAGAGACGGAACCCAACTTTTGTATTGTTTGAAAATTAATTTGCATATGGAAGTGTTGATTACAAGTTGGATGTCACGATTTTGAGAAACGTGTTATCACAGAACTGATATATTTTAGTAAAAACGGGGCAGACTTCATTTCTTCGCAAACAAATGCAATTAGGCGCATGTTTGCGAAGAAATGATTTTAAAATGTCACATGATAGATTGTTGTCAATTGCTAATTTCTTTTGTCTGTTTATGAAAAATGAACTAACTCTTCAGTTTACACATTACGAAAGCTTCAGAGGCACTCCGCACATCATAGGAGCAAGGAAACGTTCGAGGAGTCACGAGAGGTGTAGTGTTCTTTACATAAATGAAAAAATGTTTTTGGTCAAATCTTAGTCACCACTGCAATCAGACATGTTTGATACAGATTTCTGTTGACCATATCCTTTAGCAAACATTCTAATTAATCCCAACTAACTGTGCGCATGACGTAATTTACTTTAAATCAAACACAACGATAAGCATGGACGTGTTGCTAATAATCTACGTCACTGAGATGGTGTTGAAGTCTACATCACAATCAAGCTTGAAACAATCTCAGTTTTCGTAAAGTTTAATGGGCGCAAAAAAATGAGTCTATCGCGATCATAATTACTTTCTTGTTGATTTAATACATCATTCTAATCAATTGTGACGTATATTTGTCATTAAT